TAATTTATAGATGGTAATGGCGTATAATTTAGGTGTCGCTGGCCCGATTCGTTCCAAGAAACTCCCTGGCACGCTGAGTTTAATGGGAGACTAATCTCTTTACCATCGACGAGGTGAATTTACAAGGACGGTTTTTGCCAACTTTTACATTTTATCAAGTGCGGCCCCACCAGACGTCCTGATGTTTGTTGGTGGCTACAAGGAGGTAGGATTAAAAGAATGAAAAGTTCTTTAAAGCACAACTCCAATTTTGTTTTAAATACAATCCCTAAAATCTATTATGTTCATTGCAAAGATTTTAGACAACTTTATTATAGGCCGTTACCTACTCATGTTCTAAAAATATTGAGACGCCATTCCCAGGGCATTTTTCAAAGTAGGAGGTCCTGATAAATACCTTGTAAAGGTGCCCACACACCTTGCGTTAATCGTATGCGATCGACTTTCCGTCCGATAATCGCAAGGTGTGTGGGCAGTGTGCGACCGCACGTGTTTTCATCTGCACTTGTTCTGCGGCTGTATGAAACTGGAGCATCACCTAAGAAAACAATCACAACTTAAGAAGACCCCATGACCACTTCAAGATGCGACAGTTAAGCTTTTTGCCTGAAGTTAGAAGTCTTCTTTCCTGGAGTCTATTAAACCTCATTTATCAACAACATTACACTAGCTTGATAAATCTGGTGCAAATATATTTCGTGCAAGTTCAAACACTCGCAAGTGCTTTGATGAATTCCCCCCAATGTGTGTTATTAAGCAATGCAGGAACAGTTAATACCATCAGCCACTTTCCGCATAGGTGCCGAATCTTCCTCCCCTATATCCTCCTCACTGGAGTCATGGCTCGATTGCACTAGGGCAAAGAACATTGCGACATTACTGGATCAGCAACAATAATATCAGCACAATGCAGAACGGCATGCAATGCTAACACGCAACTTACCATTAGAGGATATGTCCGAATCTAATGGGAAGAATACAGGTCTACCCTCCTGGCCAGGCCCTAGGGGCGAAATATTCGTGCCCATGATTTCTGCCTCACTCTCCCCTGCAGCTAGGGCATCATCACCGTGACCTTCATGTCCTATAACACCAAACAATGCCATACATTACAAACATATACAGGAGTAGCACTATAGCAAGCAACTTGTTGAGTGCACATGGTGATATGTCTATAGTACATATAGTGAGATGTTAAACATTGGAACAATGGAGCACTTAAATAGCTAAAAGGGGTAAATGCACTAGTATCAGAACTCTGGTAATAGCAATTTTGTTCAAACCAAGAGAGGTTTTTTGAACAAGATGCAGCTGAAGAATGGGGTCAGAGAGTGAGTTTGTAATATAAAAGGTTAAGTTTATTGAATATACAAAAAATGTAATAAAAGAATTTTCATTAATCGACTGCACATTTAAATACCACTATCCCCACGCCCTTAAAAATGGTCATTGCAATGATCCTATCGTACAAATCAACACTCACACTCACACCAAGCTAGCTGAAAAATATTTTCTGGATCTTCAGGTGGTCCTCAATTATGAGGGAACAGCATCGGACTAAAGTGAAGGAGTGCAATATTGCATGTGGCAGATGCCTGGAGATTTCCTATTGAAACCGCTTGATATATTTCTCTATTCCTTGAAGTGTCTTTAGGTTGTTAATTAGTGAAAATGAAGTCAATACAAGCTTTTAACTTGGATCCTATAGACATGTTCTATGCACACAGTCAGATGTTGCTATTATGGATGCTTTTGTGACAGCATATTTTATGCAAAGAGGTAAAGGGAAAGACCCGGTGAGTTGATGTATGGTATGCCGTTAAGTTATAATCACACCTGGTGACCACAATGCTTCCCTTCTGTGTGTAAAAGAAACTCGAGTAGGATTTACTCATGGCTAACTGGACTCTTTAAACCGGACGGTCAAACTCCCGAGGCATGTGGGTACTTGATGTTAGAAATTCCAACTGTACTCATGTTGGTTGTCACGAAAAAAGCTCCAAATAGATCTCCAAATCGTTTTTTTCGGGCGGAGCAAACGATTCCTAGCGGAAGTCCCAGTTCGATCACAACTGTGTCCAGGCTATTGGTATAGCAGATCCTTTTGTCCCGCTGTTCTGAATGACCACACTGGTTGGTGTGTACCTGACATGCAGGTGGTATCTCAGCTCAGCATCCTACAGCAGATGACGCGTTTCGCCCCTCCTTAGTTTCACGGGGCTTCGTCAGATCATGTTGAGTGATTAGTCCATGGGTTTTTTATATCCTTCACTCATGGGTTTATTGTTAACCCTTTTGGTGCCGAGTTTGAGTACGAAACTTGTATCAGGTTGTATCTCAATATATTTGGTTTCTGATCCCCATATGAGGCTCAGGGGGGGGAGGAATTTCGTTTTTAGGATGAACATGAGAGCTAGTGGGTGTCGGGAGTAGTTAAAACATAATTGCTAAAGCCATATTCTATGGTCAACATCACTCGGTCATTCATTCCACTTTATCAAATAAATTAGCTGATATTGTAACCCGTTTCCCAAATACCTGTTCCATTAAGTAGCTCGATAAGAATGTTAAATACTACCCCTCCTCTAGCCCCGGACTCTGGATGTCATAATTAATCCACTAAGCCCCAGGTGATATTATAATCGAGACAAAGGAAGTATAGCTACTGTCACATTCAGATAGTATCAGAACTCTACCCTCCCTCACAGTTACAGGCCCGGGCCTAGTGCAATGCATGAACCAAAGAACATGAGATGAGGCCAGCATGTTGCCGACCATGGTAAATAGTACTTACTTTTTTTGAGTATTTTGTGAATGTGAGCTTACTGCTTAGGCTCACGTTTTTTGAGGTCGCACCAACGTTTCCTCAGCTGCTCTGCTGACCTTTTCACACCCCATTTGTTCTGGATGAGAGATATCACCTTGTGCAGGACTTTGTGTTTGTGCACATTTTTGTGGCGATATTCCTTTTGCACACAGTCATAGTCGTGTTCTTCCATTATGGCCACCAACTCCACCATTTCCTCCAACTTCATACTGGAGGCTCGTTTGCACATATTCCCTGGTGCTGTGGCAGGTGTTGATATGTGTTGCGATGTAGACGGCTCCTCCATCTCCGAACGTTAATGGGCGCAATTACAACGACCAATTGGTCGGTCACAGCTGACGTCACAGGGCGTGTTCGAAAACAGGCGCTGCGGAGAGGGGACCCGCGGACGTAAATAACGTCATTACGGGGCGTGTCCACATATGCTGACTCATAGACTGCGCGCCCTCCTTCGTCTGATTCAATTGAGTGGTACGTGTGATGAGTGTTTCTCCGCCCGATGAACGATTATTTGGTCGGGTAAAAGACGTAGTCAAACGCGGATTTTCGTTCACAAAGCGCTGGAGCGATTGACAGTAAGCAGCATTATGACATACTGCATTGCCACACATATGGCCAGCTATTAGCTAACCGATTAGTAGATGTAACATGGGTCATGTGTGCAGTAGTCACTGATGATGGCTACCATTACATGCCATATTGTTTGATGTTAAGTTAGGTGGGTCACATTGTTTAGAGCAATATGGTATTCGTGTAGAAGTGTATGAAAACATACATAACTTCCCAAAGGATATGTACCATAGCGGATTTGTAGTATGAGTTTGTAATTGGAACTACAGCTTTGGACACTGATAAACATTTAGGTATTGTGGACTGCTAACCTATGTACGTATATGGGGACCTGCAGAATGCTTGCTTTTGCACTACCACTATATCATGCATGCTGCATGTCTTAAATCAGATGTACTGCTATATTGCACCCATGATCAGTAATTGACGTAGGCCATTCCTTGGTCGGAGCATATCACCCTCTCTTTAGGTCATTTGCGACTTATATGGGCTGGTCAAGGCCACTATCAATTCCTGCTTGCATGTGCTTGTGCTATATTTGGTTTGGTTTTTATTGCAATGAACCACATTCTATCTGTCTTTTACACAGGCACAATGTCCGACCGCTTTTCTAAACCAGACTTCCTTCCACAATTCATAGATCTTTACCATCAACTTCCATGCCTCTGGAGAGTCCGTTCACGTGACTATTGTGACCGTTCTAAACGAATGGAGGCATCTAGTCAATTAGCTACATTGGCCCAGACCGTTTGCCCCAAGGCAGATATAAATTATGTGAAGCATAAAATAGCTAATATGAGAACGGTGTACAGAAAATAACACAATAAAATTGCGGCCTCCAAGAAATCGGGCAGCAGCAGAGGACGTGTACCAGCCACGGCTGTGGTATTATGAGTCACTTGGCTTTCTGGACAATGAGGAGGAAGCTCGGCCATCTATTACCAGCCTTCAAAGGCCACCTACTGATTCCACGGAAGGTGAATCCGTCATTTGAGGAGCCAAGTGAGGATTTAATACCAAATACCCAGGTGAGTGGCATTTTCCAGCCACGAATTCATCCTAAACAAAGATTTTTGTATGGGCAACATGAGTAAAAGCAAGTACACAATGGGTAGGATCCAAATGATATATTTATGTCTTTTATTTTACAATGACATGCAGAAGTTGAAGGCATAATAAGTATAGTATTAGTATAAAACAAATAATTCAAAATGTTTTAACTCATGATGTACATTATATTCTGTTTTGCCACTCTACGGCACCAGGTCCCATGAAGTATTGGGTGTACCGCAGTCTGTTCATGCGAGCGGCTGCTGTTGGCAACTGTGAATGAATTGCTCCATTCACCAGGCTGCATCCTACCACTCACCAGGTCCTCAGTGTCAGTGATGTTTGGCGGCATGTAGGAGGAAGAAAATTGTGCAGAGTGCAACAACAGTACACTATAATATCCAGTTTTCTTAAGGACACATTGATGGGTGTGTTGAATATGCAAAATCTATTCGCCATTATCCCGAATGCGTTTCCACCACCCGTCGGGCATGTGACGGTCTATAGTTAAAGACAAGCTGCTCTGGTGTTAGGCCACGCATTGGGAAGGGCTTCAGCAGATGATCGCCAAGGGCAAAAGCGTTCCTTTGGAGGGTAGATTCAACGTACCATTCCTTAACCGCTGGTTGAATTCGGTATGCTCCATCACCCCTCCATCTGAATGTCTCCCATTGCGTCCGACATCGACATAGATGGATTCATAACTGGCATTGACAACTGCCAGTAGGATAATACTGAAGTATCCTTTATAGTTGAAGAACATGGAGCCAGAGTTCGCCGGTGGGGTGATTCTCACGTGTTTCCCATCAATGGCTCCACCACAATTTGGAAAGTTCCACATGTCCTTGAACTGTTGGGCAATGTTGGTCCAATCAGAGGGCTCTGTGGGGAACTGTAAAAAAACAATACCATTATTGTAATAAGTTTGTGTAACTAAAGTTTTCACTACAATACATGTTAATTATTTTTTATACAGGACAGTATTGGTTTGGAGGAAACTTCAGAGGCTGACCCAGGACCATCGCGTATTGTTCCTGCTGCTCCTGCACGAAGGGCACGGAAGAGGGCAGCTACAGACATAGCAATTGATAAATTCTTAAATAAGGCTTCAGCCGCACTAGACAAACAGCCTAATGAGAGTGCTCTGTTCTTTCAGGTTGCAGCATTGAAAATGCAGAGCATGGAGCAGCAGCAACATCAGCACGCTCAGACGCTTGTGCTCCAAATCATGCATGATGGGCAGCATGGACTACTGGGTCCAAACAACTACATTTACCTTTCACGAACACATACAGGTGGTGTGACACATCCTGCTTGGCATCCATCGGATGTCGGCACTGAGACACAGGCACCAGCACCACATATGCTTCATCAGGCAATACCACAACAATGCATGCAACAGCCCCCCATACATCAGCAATACAACCCAGTACATCGTTTGGGCCCACACTATGTGCGCCGTCCAAACCAATTAGCCCAGCAAGAGTTGGTTCAGCCACAGGACACAAACTATTGGGGCAGTGTTCCCTCAAGGGAGTCCGACTCTCTCAGGTTTCTTTAGGGCCAAATACATACACCAATCTTTGGGTTTAACTTCATGACATTAGTATGTTTACAGCAAGACATTTAATATATATTTTGACTGAAGACATGTCTTATTTATTTTGCTGGAGGTAAATGATACATATGTTTGACATTTCAATAAGACAAATAAACTTACCTTCATATACTCGTCTTGTCGAACTTTGATTATTGCCGCACAGGTTTCTGGTATGATCAAACTCATGGCCTGTGGGGAAATTCCCGTGGTGAACTTGAGGTCCTCCAAAACTGCGTCCTGTAGCAAGGTAGCAAAGGGTAGCAATGGAGGGGGGAATTGCTTTGCGCAGCACTGTATCTGTCTTCACAAGGTGAGGGGACACCAGAGCCAACAGGGTGCTGTAGGCATCATCAGACATCCTGAGGTAGCTTCTGAAGTCCTCAGGATTGTTCTCACGCAATTCTTGGAGAAGAGCAACATGGGAGTAGCGGTCACACATACGCAGCCAATTCATCACCCAAATGCGCCTTGGAATTAACCTGCGTTGACGATAAGTATGTATGGCAGCAACACCAACCATGATGATAGGCATTTCTGACATCTCGTGATCCATCATTTGCTTGCAACAAACAAGTGTGGGGGATGGTTGCTCTTAAGTCCTTAGCTTTTATCTCTATTGATGTCCAATGAACGCATCCTTTGGCTGGGGAACATGAGAGCATTTCCGTCGTGAGACCATGATCGTAGACTAACCGGTTGGGTCGTACGACGGTCATACGAAAAAAAACCCGCAACATTGTAGCACGGTCGCCCGATGGTCGTACAATTTTTTAAGAATCGTACGACAAGAAAACTACGATAATAGCAAGGTGTGTGGCCAGCATTAGTTTCGGTACTGCAGTAAAATAGCAGATATACAAGTTTATTACCAAAAACGCACAGTGCAGGAAAGCTGAGGACTTTGCTTCGGATGCCCCATGCTGCTGGAAGTGTATCTCTACGCAGTGTCTTCCTCTAGGAGAGGGACAATTACAGGAGCAGGTGGATCTGAGTTCTGTGAACGCCTGTGCAGAGATTACTGTAACCATGGAAATTAAATTTAGCACATTCGGGTGCCAGCAATCAAGTCATATTTACTGCCTTGCTCCTTTTCCCTCTCTTCCCCTCAACAATTGTCCCCACTTGCAGAAGCAATAGCATTTATGTTCAGTTTGACCATTCTGCAGCATGCTTCTTGATGCATATGTCCCTGTTTTTACAAACATTTTGGGGGTAGGTGTGTGTGCAGCTGAGTGGTGTAAGCACAAATGATCTAAGATAAAAATATATTCTAACTTGAAAATCTGGGGTGATAGTTCGGGATTGTGAGATAAAAGGTCAGAGTTTTGAGATAATAGTTCAGAATACTGAGATAAAAAGTGGGATATTATCCTGTGCGGTGATGATAAAGCTGCCCTTAGGGCCATGTGGCACTAGTGATTTTTTCAGGACTCTTCAGGATTTCTAAAATGCAGTTTAGCTATCAGTATGGATGATATTTGGGCTCGAGTGCAAACCGAACTCAAGTGGTTTGCAGTTCGTCAAATGAGTGAACGATTTTGCCAGTTCTCCCACCTGCTGAACCTCCCTCTGTGTTCTAGCAGCCAATGCTGTGCCATTGGTTGACTGGTGGCAAAGCCACACAGCATTATTGATTGCTAAGATGCAGGCAAGTGCACCTTAACAACCCATGACTGTAGGGCTCCCACATCTTAGCAACTAATGACGCTGTGTGGACTGCAGAGCATCATTGGTTGCTAAGAAGCTGGTAGTCATACAGCTTCACTGGTTGTTGTGGTGCACCCATCTGCATCCTAGCAACCAATATATAAAATTCTGTGCAGGCGGACCCAGCTCTTCTGGATTTCTGTCTGAGTTTAGCCAATGTACAAGCAAACCAAACTCAGATATGCTCGACTCATCGTGAACTAATGGTCATCACTCCCTCAACATTGAAACTTACATAGGCTTACTTCCCTCTTGGTGATGGAAAGTAGCTGGGATGGAGTGAAAGTAAGATAAGAACGGGCCTTTTGGAGGGACCATCTGACTCACAATGAGTGAGAAGTGAGAGCTGAACTGCTCAAGATTTCCCTTCAAGTAGTTGTACTGTGCAAGCAGATTATCACCCCACTGACCTGTTGCCCTTCACATGTTCTACTCAAAACAGAGATTATTTGTAGGAATAAAACCCTGATGGAGGCCCTAAAGTACCCCCTCAAAAAAATCAACAACAAAGTTTTAGAAGGAGTTCCACGGTAAAGAGTCCCTGTCATCTTACCCATTCAAAACATCAGGGTCTGTGTAAAGCTCACCCCCCAGAACACCTTATTGTCACCTCTCCAGTGCACCCCCAATAGGGTTGCTACCCTTTTTCTGGCAGAACAAGAGACAAAATATGCAGAATGACATAAGGAAGTGTAGCCTTTTGTCAGTTGGTATACAACTGGGGCCTCATTCAGTTGAAAGAGACTCTGCCCACCCCCGACCCAATTATACTTCCCTTCACAATGCTATCCTGTTCTTCACTTCCTCTGTTGTGGCTTCCACAAAATATATGATATTGGGGCTTACAGGGAACAATGGTGTCACCTCTTTGGTCATGTGCCAGTGTTCAGATCTAGCAGTTGCCCACTTGGTCCGCAAACTGCATCATGGAAGGAAGTCACATACTTCCCCAATACCTAAAAGCACCAGTTATTTTGCACTGGCAGCCATCGAAAAAGGGGGCACTGAAATGGGGAGTATAAGTTGGTTTAGGGTGGGCATTACACAGCCCCTGTCAATTGCCCTAAATGGGCAAGATGACAGGGCCACCGCAAAGGCTAGCATTGCATTAAGCTTTCTTTTACTTTATAGAGGTTTAGAGTTAATTTCTGCTGTGAAATATTCCACAAAGCTTCTCCACACCAGCTGATGTTGGGTTGTGTACTTGGCCTATCCCATGTCTAGACACGTCCCATAGTTCTCAGACCATTCTTCAGGTCAGCTGTCACCACACATCTGTCCTGTCTTCCTGTTACCTAGCTGGTATTTTCCTTCTGAAATGTCCTCTCTTTGGTTTGGAAGGGAGAAGGTGTAGTGTATCCCAGCTGCATCCTGTTGGAACTGGAGAGCAAGCTGGAGGAGCACATGGAGCAGAAGGTGGAGGACATTTCTTCTGATGATCTCCTACGAGTTATTATGGATATTTTGGTTGGACTTTGCGCAGGAATCTCCGGTGCACTAAAAGGAACACGCTCGGTATTAAAATGCGCCCAGCACAAACAATCCGGTTGCTGCTAAAAGCACGCTGCATTCAGCGCTTTCTGTATAAGGGATGAAGTACTTCTTTAGCACCAGAGAGAGTCAGACACGATGCTGCTTCAAGCTGGAGTCAGTAGAAAAAAGGGCCGAGCTGACCCGAACTCCTTCATTTTATTAAGGCAAAAGGACGACACCCAGTGGGAGACGGCTTTACAACATTAGCCAGTCAACCCAGAAATACAGGTAAATATCAAAAGGAAAAAGGGGACTAAATCAAGATGGCTGGGCAGGGAAATGCACACACCTTATCCCTGTAACAAGGAAGGATGAGTCATGTCCATTGTCCCCGACCGGCCATGTGGTTGCCCATCCCCCATCATCGTCAGCATGGACCCTACCCAATACTGCTCAGAGTGACCAGGATCTAGTAAAGTCATTCTACTTGTTCGTATAGGTTTGAGACTATCTGAAGAGACATTGCTGATGCGGTTATCTATATACGGTACCAGTATACGGACAAGGCATATATCGATGTCTTATAAAAGCAGATATGTATCCAAAGGGGATAGCGCAGTCTGCAATAGAGGTATACAGATGCTCCTCGCTTAACGACTTACCTGTTTTGCGACCACTCGCACTTACGACTGCCCTCCGAGCGACCTCCGACCTCGCGCGTCTGTGCGACGTGTCGCCGGGGGAAGTGACGTCCTCCGATCTTCACTCACTGCGGGTCCCGGTAAGTATTTCCATTGCCCGATGTACAGTACACTGTTCGGTACTGTACATCTGCAACGCTATACAGTACTGTACTAATGCAGTACAGTACTGTATAGAGTTCCTCACTTAATGACCAATCCGTTTAACGACCTGGTCGTAGGAACGGAACTCGGTCGTTAAGTGAGGAATACCTGTAATACACATCTCGTTATACGGACTCCGCTTCGCTAATGTGTACAGACGTTTGAAGGCAAGGAGCCCAGCGCATTGCACTTAGTACTCACAAACCGGCAAACGCTTCCACACACCGCGAACACGTCTCCAAGCCCATGAGAAGGTTTTCACACTGACGGTCTTACCGCTGGTCCTGATTCAACCCAAGTACGCTCTGCTAGAGCGTTCCTCGGTTACATCCGACACAGGGAGACAGATGACAACCTATAAAACACACACATCCTAGAATAAAAATGTCCACCTAATTCCGTATAATAAAATTTCCACAACAGAGTTGAGGTAATAACAGGTCCACCTGGAGAGAGCAGAAAAATGGAGACCACCTGTTATTTGCGAGTTTTGCCTCTAAATGATTGCAAATAATATTTGTCCTTTACCTGGGAAGCTTGGCAGACCTGGAATGCCCTGTAGTTAGGAAATATAAATTATCCTAATTACGTTACGGATGTTTTTTCCAAGCTCAAAAATTCCTCATGTAAGAGGCTCATTTGTGTTGGTCAAACAAGTCATAAGTACAGGTGGGGGATGATAGACTAGGTGAAGGTGTCCTATGGGCTTCCTCTATGCAGCTAATTAATCTCTTGGGAGAACCTTGTTAATAGTGATGGTGCAGCCATATGTATAAGGCTCACTTTGAAATTCTATGAAGTGAAAATCTGTACAAATTTAGGTAATATAATAATTTATATTTAGCACCATTATTTAAAGTGGGGCTCCAGTCAGAAATGGCAATCTTTTGCTCCAATGATGTGTTTATTAAAGTCCCAACCAAAGTGTTTGCTGGGGAAGCATTTGGGATATACAGCAACCACTATATATACATGAGTGGGCCAGATTATTATGACCACCCCATCAGTACATCGTTGGGCCACGAGATGACTCCACAGGATGACTTTGTTGAACCGCCTCGTGACTCCACGAGATGTTGAAAGGTGATGCGAGGAATCTGACACGGCACTGTTGCCCTTCTGTTGTCTTGTAGCAGTTTTGCCCCTCCCCCGTTCTGCCCTAACATTGACTAGTCGCTGACGGCCACAATTCGCACGTTCAGACCCAGATTTTCGGCTGACAATTCAGTATTTAAACACTTTAACAACAGCTGCTCTTGAACATTTAACAAATTCTGCTGTTTTGCTGATACTCGCTCCATGCGGCAACAATCATCCCTCCAAAACAGGCACTTCCCAAAGTACTCCCCCCAGGTGAATAGAGGCCTCACCCCAAACTAGTCAATTATCTATACATTTACAACCTAGGTTGTGCAGGGTTTTTTTTGAGGGGACTCATATAATTATAATTCGTACAAATTTGTTGATGTTCATAGAAAAGGTTTATTACATAATTATGAAGATTAAAAACAATGCT